CTAGAATTGCCTTCCTTATAAGGTTCTGGTTAGTATGAACCACAGGAGAGTCCTGAGTGAAATTTTTTCAGCAGAGGTGAAGCAGCATTCRTGGTAGTTCATAATGACACAGAGCTGCTGACTAATATTATTAGCATGAGGCAGGTATGGGACTGCAACTAACTCTACTTTGCCCTGGATCCTCCAGCTGTTCTGACTCCTGGGCTACGTGTGTTTAGCTCCAAGGTGAAGGATTCTGACTTCTTTCTGCAGGAAGCCCACAGAATAAAGATTAGAAACAAAAACAAAAACTGAGGGTTCAGTTTACCCTGAAACTTTTACCTTTCCTTTCTCAAAGACTGTGGAGTTTTAATCTAACATTAGACACAAAGGCTGCAGCTTTATAGACCAGACCAGCTCTTAAAGTTGTATAAGGCCAAATCCTGCCTGATTTTCTTTCCAACTTAAACTTTTCTATGTCGCACTCAGTACATTTATTCTCTATGCCAGTTTTCTTTCCATTTCTTCAAGTTGCAAGGTCTGTCCTGCCTCTGCTCTTTGAAAACTTCCTTCTTCCTCTTTGCTCATGTTCTTAATCTGCAGTGGGTCTTTCTTAGTCTAACCATCAACTTTATGGATTGGTCTTCCTGACCATGACATTCAAATCATTTTTCAGGTTTGTTTTCTTCAGAGTTCTTATTGCAAGTTGTGTATGCTCCCCCTAATTTTGGCTAGTCTGTCTCCACTAGAATCTAGGTTCTATGAGCTGTATTTGTCTTATTCCACACTGAATACTCTGATTTCGCACTGTCTGGCACACGACATTTCTCAAAGGATTCATCTAGGAATAGAATGGGAGATATGAAGGACTCTATCTTGTAGGTCAGATATGACAGAGAAATTAATTTTCCATTCTTTGGAAAGCTTGCAGTTTAATCTGAACTCTTGTTTTTCATAACTGCTCAAGTTAATGCTTATTGATTCAGGGACTACCTCAATAGTATTTAACATGAAATTTCTGTTACATGTTAACAGATTTGATTAGACTTCCATGAAAATACTTGTGATGGGAATCCTGAAAAATAAAAAACAATTCAACTACCATTATGGATCTAAAACCATCATTATTATTTTGGCCTTTGATTCACTTAAATGTTAAGAATGATTAACACACTCACAGATCTGAACATTTACTTAGTTAAAACTAAGTTTTTAGAAAAACTCATCCAACTTTATCAGCCTATGTGTGCTCTACAGCTTTTAACTGCATATTGTCAACTTTAAAACTATATTTTACAACTCAAAATTCTCTCATCTCTTTCCAGGAAGTCCTTTGTGTCTAATATTAGTAAATCAGCAAGCTGATTGGTGGTTCCAAAAGGGATACAAGAATTTATAAGATTGAAAACTGTTAATGTTTATAAAAATAAGGAAGTGCAGAAGGAAAAATAGACTTAGAAGTTTTCTCTTTGGCATGAGTCTGAGTTGCTGGGAGGAAATGAGGCTGAAGGGTCTTAGAGGGTGTGATGACTGTCAGGTTAACATGGTTAGCTAGTACCACATTTCCTAGAATTGTCTCTAAGATTCTGCTCAGTGTGGACCAGAGGAGTTTTAGGTGAAATTTGATAGTATTCCTATCAAATAAAATCAAAAGAAAAAACACCATCTTGAAAATCAGTATTTTCCTAACTTTATAATTTCCAAGGCTCAATCTTCTCATTTCATCAAGATACCTGCAAATCACTTTGTTTAAATGTGGATACTACAAAGGTTCTTCAATACTGGCCTTCTTGAAATCCTGTCTTAAAATGTTTAAAATTTTAATGCCTTCGTACATTACTTTTTCAGTATATAACCTAAAATGAATAGTTGGCCAAATATGTTAAAATGGCAGATCAATTACAGGTTTTCACACTTTGGGGAACCTGCCCTAGATACTTAAAACATTTGCTTCTAGACCATTCTCTTTGTGAAATAAAGCTCAAATAGTAGTTTCCAGATATTACACAGTTCTTTAATGTTCTTATCCTCTACAAAACGTGTGAAGTAACTTACTTATTTTCAGTATTTATGCTTTTGACTCCCTGCACACCCAGATGATTCTGTAGTGGTGGATACTGATGTAAAACCACTGAAATGAAGACAAATTTTGTTTTCCTGGGTGTTAAGTTCAATGGTTTAAAGCAAAGTTTTTTTGACTTAGAAAAAAAAAAAGTAATTTTTTCCTGTAAGGTTTTGTATCAATTGACAGTTATAATGGAACATGAAAGTTTACAAATATACACTGAGGAAACAACTTATCTTCCTCTTCATATCTGAATTATTTTTTGAGTTCTAAACCTACCTAAAAACAAAGTTGTAGAGATTCATTTGATAAGGTAAAATTTTTCTAGTAATTTGTTTAATCAAGTTTGTGTTGATTCTGGGGAAAAAATAGTACTTACACTGATGCAAGGGACAAATCTTTTTCAATAAGTAGTATATACTGGCTAAATAATCTCTGATGGATACTCCTCACAAGCAAATTTTCGACATAGAATGTCAGCTCCTTGCCAGAATGTTTGGGTATCTGAAGGCTCTTATTTAAGAACAAGGTTAAAATTAACTTGTCAGTAATTAATAATTGTCACTTTTACTAAAAATCAGATTTCAACTGTATCTAGTAGAATTAAAGATTTCATATCCAAAGCAAACCACCCAATTCACTTAGGCTGCTAGAAGAAAAAGCAATGAGAGATTGTACAGTTTTCAGATAAAAACCAATAGAAACACTAGTTCCCCAAACCACTTGGCCAGCCATGAATTAAAATATAAATTAAAATAGAAAATTTATTCATCCCCGTCTTACTACAAAGGTGACAACTTCAATTTTTTAACTTCTAAAAACTTTTCATCATTCTGGCAAAAAGACAACACTAAGAGGCTCTTGAAAGTTCACTTTAATTTTTATTACACACCAGACATATGAACTAACCAGAAATTAGGATGAGTATCTCTATACTCTTAAAAATCACAGGACATATATATCTCTTCCTTTTCCTAATATTGAAGTGCATTTCAGATTATTTTGGGATTAGTCTGGGCAAAGTAAAAGCAATCAAGGGAAGGCAGTTTATGATGTTGGAGGTACTTTTCAGAAGCTATTAGTGATGTGCAGATTATCAAGGTTGAGTAGAACTCACAATGCTAATATTAGCTACATATTTTGAACATTTATTGTTAATGGATGGATACCAAGGAAGTGAAGAGTGGTCCCTAAGAGTCTTCCAGTCTTGTTTGAGCTTGTTAAGATTCAATGATTTCTCAAAAGCTTGATAAAAGCGCAAGTCCCTGCTTACTGGAAATATTTTCTGGGCATCAAGACAGTGTAGTCACCCTAACTTCTTGGGGAGATGTGTGCTTTAACATCAGGGATGCTTTTGGCATGGAGTACAAGCTCTTGAAAATACTAACCTAACAGGTTATTGTCTCTAGCTACCTTCTTCTTGAAGGAGTTTTGTATTAGGCAGGAGGGAAAACATATTCAACTTCAATTTTGAGGTAGGTGATGGATAGGAATGAGAAAAATAAAAGACCCTTTAGGATTTAAAGTCTGTCCAGCTTTTTGGTTTCTGTCTTAATACTCTGCAATGGGCACAAAAAACTAGGTATTTATTTATATCTTCATAACACCACTGTGCTCTTGCATTTCAAGTTCAGCTTTTCCACTGCTCTTCTGAAAAGAAATTCACATTCTGACAAAACTGTCACCTTCTTTATTGTCTTATAAATAGATCCTGGGACTATCTCAGTAACTGCTATCCATTATATACATAACTTCATTTCTTACTACATTATGACTACAGAGAAGAAACTGAGTACTTATCTATTTTCAATAATCTAACATATGCATTTTATAAATGCTTTTTGACACATGAATATTTTATTTACAAGTGTTAAATCTTTTTCACAAAAGGAAGCAGAGATCTGTTTGTTTTTTACTTTGTAAACTTGGAAAACTTATTTCATTCAAAGCTGTTTTGTCCTAAGGTAAAACTAGACTAATCATCTTATTACTAAGATGAAGAAGTCTATTACAAATTACATAYTGCTATTTTTCCCCAGCATGGAAAACTATTTTGAATGTGAACATGTAAGAACATTCAGRCGAGTGCCTGGAACAGTAGAACAAGCTTTAACAAGACACTTTTGGACTTGAATCTCAACTTTTAAGCTTATGGGGGAATTCTATAGACTCTGGCTTTTTGATTGACCCTCTTTTAAGACTGCCCAGAAAGGAGACCTACTCCTGTTGCTAGCACAGCTGAAGCTAACCAGGAACTAAGTGTAAGCACAAAACAAAATCTCAGAGAGATGGAATTAAAAGAAGCAAAAGCATGAAATGAAGCTAGGAAGAGCACCTGAACCTAGCATGCTACGAACTTCTGCATGCATCCTAACTTCTGTGGCAAGTCTATGTGACAGATGTARGGGAGAGCATTTGATGCTTAGGTCAATCTTTAATCCTCTTTTACATCCCACCACCTTCCACCTACTAGTAGGCAAATATCTGAATATTCTGTGGGCTTAAAACCATCTACACTGCCCTTGGGTTAGAAAACAAGATTCAATGGTAACTCCTTGAAAAACATACATTAAAGAAAATGCTAGTTGCTTTTCTTCATAGATCTTGTGTCTTTTCCCCACCTCTCAAAGAGCTTGTGTTTCAAAAGGTCAGAATGTTTTGGGTTCGGAATAAGCTGCCTCCCACTCTGTTCAACACCTATACACAGTAAAATTTTATATGTTACCACAAATTTTCTTTTTCTTTTTTTTTTTCAATTTACTGAGGCACATCTCCAATCCTGTTTTGTATTTTATTTAGAGACAGGGTCTCACTGAGTTGTATAGCACCTCACTGTAGTTGAGGCTGGCTTTGAACTTGCGATCCTACTGCCTCAGCCTCCCAAGCTGCTGGGATTATAGGCATGCACTACCGCTCTGGGTAAAAATTTTCCCAAGAAAATCATTYTTTCCTTTGCTTTCCACCTCCTCCTTGAAAATGCCAAATTAAAAATATCTTAGAACTGATTTCTAGAATCTTCTTTCCTTTTTCATACTAGATTTGTGTTATCATTAAAAAAAAAAAAGCTGACAAAGCTTTTGTGGAAAGTCCAGTTGGCAGAAGAGTTGGACAACAGATGGCCACCCAGAAATTACACCTAGAAAGGTGACTTCTCTGCATGGGTATGCTGACAAGTGTCCTATTTTGGGGATAGCCTAAAGATCCTTGACCTAATGCAAAGCCCAAGATATAGTTCAGAGTAGAAACAATTATCATAACCAGATTGCTTGTCCAAAATAAAATGCCACTTTTAACCAACCATAGACAGGGCAATACATACGCTGTACTAGATGTTTCCTAGGATTCATTCCAAGTAGTTTAAAGTGGCTTTTAAAAATTGATAGTTTCAAATTCTATACTGTTTTTGTAGAAGCAGATACTAATAGATTAAAAATAACATCTAATTAATAAACACTACCTACAATGGGGAAATTTTTGGTAAGATTTAAGCTCCTCTTAGCTTTGAAATAGTATGTAACTTTTAGCTTGACCTAAAGAAATGTTAACCATAAATTTATAACTGTCCTCTTGTGAGATCTGTAAGTCATATTCCCAATATTTGTTTTATCGACTAAAAATTAGTCTTCCTTCGATATAAAAGCTCAAAGAAAGATATTTATGCCATTAGTGTAGATGGTAGATTAAAAACCACTGAATTATCATCCTACAAATCATTCTGTTTTGTTCTTTTCATTCTAAGAATGTTATCTTTTTCAGGAACAGCTAGCTGGTCAAACTCATGCTTAAGACGTATCCATAGTCAATCAGGCTAGTCTAAACCCTCTTATATTAAATATAAACATTTTCCTAGTACTGCTTTTAAGTCACATTCCATTTATCTGACTCCTTAAGAACTGCATGGACTTGTTTTAAATATTTTTAACACCTGTAATAAACTACAAAATTTGTTAAGAGTAGAGGCACTCTGGTTAATGGTCAAACTCGTGTGGCCAGAGGAAAAGCAAACATTATTGAATATGAATGCAATCCTTACCAACACAAAATTGAACCATTTCTCAATTAAAAAGCTAATCCAAAAAGGTCTCATTCTGTAAAGACTTATCATTTCCAAATCACAGTGAAAGGAACTTGAGTAATTCACCAATTTTGTTTTCTACTATGTGCCTTAAAAATACCCTACTAAAAACTGATATCAGACACAACAGAATGACATTTGCACAAAATGTAATATTGTAGCAACAGTACTGAGGTTGATTGTTACAGACTATTAAACTCTGCGTATCAAATGGTTGTATCTTAGTTATTTACACAGAACATTGGTCCAATAACATAAAAATAGAGAACACCATCTGGAAATTTCTCTCATTCAATGTTCAGAGATAAAAGGGTTAACCATTCTTTCCATTATTTTCTGCAGATAAGTCCTTGTTCACACTGAAGTCTGATGGCAATTAAATTCTGGCATTTTTCCAAGCTACTGTATGAAAAGGATGCTGAAGGCCATCACTACACAGCATACTGCAACATAAGGACTCTTTCGTTCACCTGTTGAAAAAAAGAAGATATTCATTTTGATAAAATGACTAACATGGACGTGACAAGGCTATTACTATAGGAGAGAAATACACATGAATCAAGATAAAATTCTTGCCTCTGACTCCTACATACTGGGGTAGGGAGGAAGGAGAGAAACATAAAAAACATGTCAAATATGGAATGATTTAATCTGTACTGAGATTTCTGAGACTACCTTCTTTTTAAGTATTTAGAAAATTCTGAAAGTGCCATTTCTATGTCACTGCATTAAGACAAAATATTAAAAAATATAATGCAGGATATGTAGGACAGARATCCAAGAGAAATGATCTTAAGTAACTCAACAGAAGTCAAAGAGTTAATTTTCTTCTTGTAAAAAAGAATTTCTACCAATAAAAAGAAATTCACCATACAATATTTAGCTATAATTTTTTTTTTCAATCACTGGTAGCAGTTCATTACATGTACAGGAATATGAAGAAGAGGCATTCATGTATTAAAAAAAGGATATAAAATGTATAATAAAAAAACGTAGGAGAGAATATTTCTGAGATAGATATTCACATAAAGTCTTTTATTAGGTGAGTATCCCTTGTCTGAAATACTTGAAATAAGAAGTATTTCAAATTTCAGATTTTGGAATATTTGTATAGACTTTACTGTTGAAGCATCCCTAGTCTAAAATCCTTAAATGCTCCTAAATCCAAAACTTTTTGAGCATCACCTCTGTGCTCAAAAAAATTTCAGATTTTGGAGCATTTTGATTTTCAGATAGGGATGCTCAATCATAGTCTGATTACTCAGGATCAGAAATACCTAATTTCAATTTCCACATTGTTTAAGGAGTATTTATATTTGAAGACTTTCCTTTGCATGATGTGTACCTGAAGTTGGCTTGGGAAATTACCTTGCAAACAGATCCAGTGATAGTAAGTTAATTCAAATTCATCTTGACCTTTTCTGTTTCTTTAGTAACTGCAAGGCTGTACTAGTTCATAATGCACTAGGCATAAAAACAAAGGAAGGAGGAAGAAATCACATCTAGAAATAATCCTGAGCTATACCCAATGTCCTTTAGTAGAGATGGATTACAATTCCCTCATTTGTATTTTTCTATCATGTTTATAGTCAACTCTTGCCCAATAACCAAGTTCCTTTCTTAATCTAGGAAGTTCAGTTAACTAGCACTAGAAAATGTCAGTCTTGATCACCAACTAACTAAAATCCTCAAGGCCATTTCCATTTTCAGAGTTTCCTCATCAAGTTCACACTGCCATACAATCAGTAAGTTTATATCTTTGGGCCTGTTCAATGACAATAGTTATAAAAATATTACACATATATACAAAAGCCAACATTTGGTATTTTTTCTGAAAGTGGTTTTATATTCACAGACATTTAATGGACTGCCTTCCATTTAAAGGAAAACCCAGAACGTGAGAAAAATGTTTTTTACTGTACCATCACTTCAACTGAAAAAATTTTTTAAAACTATAAAATATATTGGATCATAATTTTAAACAATGCTAACACATTTAAGGTAAAAAAGCCAAGTCATTACACAAAACAAAAACACCTCCTTCTTCCAGAGATTTCAGGAGGATTTCATAAGCAAGTCTGTCACTTATTAGGGCCACTCTCCTTGTTTAGGACAGTCTTATTAAACACCTAAAGGAAGCAATTAATTCTGATCTAAGTTTTCCATCTGCTGAAAATTAATTTTTTAGGAAGTTCTTCTCTTCCTAATCCTCTGACTTAGAATGCTACAATTTACATATGGGTTTCATTTTCCTGTTTTTAATTTTCTTAAAAGAGATTGCCATCTGGTAGAGTTAAACATCTCTGGTTGAACTTGGATAAGAATGTTACTTCTTGTCTGGTCTTAGGTCTGTGTAAGTGAATGTGAAACAGTTGCTGTAATGTGATGTGTAACATGATCAGATGATTTGGCTAGGTCTTTTCCCATTAAACAGCATCCTTTCTTTGTGGATATATTGTGTGTCAAGAAAAGAAGAGCATGTGCTTGAGAAAGCAGCATATAACATCAACATTTTCAAAGCTACTTTGCTAAAATAAAAAGCTAATGTTTTCCACAACTGGCAAGAGGAATACTTTTAATTGACCCATTCAACCTAAGGTATTCATATAGCCAAGGGAGGAAAATAGAAATAATAAGAGCAAACCAAGACAAAAATTATAATTACACATTAAAATTACAAAATTATAATTAGACATAGAAATAGATTATAGGAGATCATTAATAAAGCTACAAACTATATTTCTTCACCTTCAACTATACTTTCTTTAGGCAACTGTGAACAGAAGTATCACTCAGGCTGGCTACTGAATGGAGCTATACACATTTTTCTAATTTATTACATAAAATGGACTTAAAATGCCTTAACATTTTCTTTATAAGTTAGCAATTAAACAATATAATTGAGATGGAACTTGGTCTAATTCCAGACCCACTTTTCCATTGTGTTCTTTTTTTGCAGTTTACTTGAGGTATTCTTATTACTCCATTCCTTGGCAATGTTTTTATTTCTTTTTCAGGAAGATTTGCCTCTTCAGCAAGCAGTTTGGTTTAATATATTTACATTAACCATTAGATATTAGCTATTAGCATTAACTATCAAGGGTGATATTTTCTCTCTATCTTTGTCTTCTGAGTTTTCTTTGAAGTGCTTAAGACTTTTTTTTTGTTATTTCAGGGTTTGCAGCTGTCGTGCAAGACCGAGTGCCAGATAAGTATGCACCACAGATCTCTGTAAATCTAGGCCAGGCCTTCTCAACTACAGCATTACAGAATCTTGGCATGCATAGTTCTGTTGTGAGGGGCTGTCCTGCACACCCTTGGATGTTTAGCAAGATCCTAGACTTACACTCACTGTATGTCTCCCATTCTGCTTTTGACAATTAGAACTTTCTTTAGACAATGCCAAATGTTTCTTAATAACCACTTATCTAGGCTACATCTGTGCTTTTACTAATTTAAGGTCAATGCTATTCTTACAAAAGATCCTCATGCCTGACTTCCTAAGAGAGAATACAGTATGATCAGAGAAAAGGCAACTTAACATTTAAAAGCACATTGAATGTTCTGGAAGATAATGTCAATTGCAAAAGTTACTATAGTATATGAGGGTCTTTATGCTTATACTATCATTTTCTACAAACCTGAGGGGCCAGATAATGTCATAATCTCATTATCACAGATTTAGAAAGGAATTCTGGATAATTTAGTATGCTTACAACTTATGGAAGTTATTAATGGGGTCTTGCCTATCATTAAACATTCAATAGAGAAAAAACTGTTGTGAAATTAGTTCAATGGTTAACATATGAATTTGGAAGAAGTGTTAAAGACTTCAGATACATTATATGGATTCCCAGATCATCTTCAGAAAAATTTGGTAAATGGTATGAGAACTTAGTTTATATGTTTCCATCTCTAATAATTTTGTTTCAATCTTGTAAAATTTCTACATCTCCATGGAGATGAAAACCAAAGTAAAACATAATATTCTAAGGGGAACACAGTTTATCTGAGGAAATAACTTTAAAATTCCCCAGCCTGTTTATTAAAGTTATATATTTGAGGCATCCAGGCTGTTGTTAGGCTGGCTAACTAGATTAAATATCTAATGCAGAAAATTCTTCTGCATTATGAAAGTACACAGCTTAGTGAAAGAAAAAAAGTAGGTACGCATATATTCAATGTTAAAAGAGGAGTAATAAGAATTTTTTGGTTTGCATATAATCCAAAAAGGGTAATATTCATTTTCTGTCCAAGTGTTGTTAATTAAGTATAAATTCAAATGCCATGGAATTTTTTTTTAATCAGGCATGCTAAAAATGGGTATAATTTATTATTCAACCATTTTGAATTTTCTAATCATTTTGAGTATACTATATGATGTGTGAAGTGATATTTT